CACTCTTTATCTATAGGAACTAGAATATAATAGCAGCATTCTATCTCCCTCAAAGTTCTTCCACTCTAGAGGGTGGAGTGATAGCACAGAAACCTTCCTCTTCTCTGAGGTTTATGTCACTCAACTGTATTATTATCTAAATTAAAGTCATGACTAATTTCCAGGTCGTCATCTTTCAATGTATAAAAAGTAATTTGAGGCTGGGTGCAGTGGCTCATGCCTGTAATCTCAGCACTTTAGGAGGCCGATGTAGGTGGATCATCTCAGATCAGGAGTTCAAGGCCAGCCTGACCAATATGGTGAAACCCCATCTCTACTAAAATTATAACCATTAGCCAGGCATAGTGGCATACACCTGTAGTTCCAGCTACTCCGGAGGCTAAGGCAGGAAAATCGCTTGAACCAGGGAGGCAGAGGTTGCAGTGAGCTGAGATCATGGCACTGCACTCCAGCCTGGGTGACAGAGCAAGACTTGATCTCAAAACAAAAGTAATTTGAGCTGGGCACAGTGGCTCACACCTGTAGTCTCAGCCACTTGGGAGGCTGAGACAAGAGGATCATAAGCCCAGGAGTGAGCCATGATCACACCACTGAACTCCAGCAGGAGCAACAAAGCAAGACCCTGTCTCCAGGCCTCAAACAATCCTCCCACCTCAGCCTCCCAAAGTGCTAAAATTATAGGCATACAGGACTGTACCTGGCCTAGGCCACTATTTCTCACTTGAATGATTATAATAGTCTTCTAACAATGAATGAGTCTCCAATGAACACAACAGTCTCCCAATCTTCAATCCACCTTCTATTCTACATTGTCAAATGAATTAATAAAAGCAAACTTGATTCTGTCCACCTAAAAAAAAAAAAATCAGAAGTTTCCCCATTAGCTGCAGAAACAAATCCAAACTCCTCAGCATCATGTACAAAGCTCCCTCATTGTCTGGGCTCTACTAATCTATCCTTTCCCATCGCCTGCCACTTCACACTGACATTGCCCTTCAGTCTTCAGAAGCCATTTGCAGTTCCCAGACCATGTATGCTTTTACAAACCTGTCTTTCTATCTTACCCAAAATTCCTTTCCCCGCTTTTAAAGCTTGTGTTTTGAACATTATAGTAAAAATCGAGAAAACTTCTAGAGCAAGTTTGTTCACCCGGCTTACAGCAGGCCACATGCGTCCCAGGACAGCTTTGAATGTGGCCCAACACAAATGCACAAACTTTCTTAAAGCATTATCACATTTATTTGCAATTTTTTTCTTGTAACTCATCAGCTATTGTTAGTGTTAATGTATTTTTATGTGTGGCCTGACACAATTCTTCCAACGTGGCCCAGAGAGGCCAAAAGATTGGACACCCCATTCTAGACCCTTAAGTAAGCTGAACTTAAGTTCCAAACATTGAAATGTTAGTCTCCCCCTGGCCAGGCGTGGTGGCTCACATCTGTAATCCCAGCACTTTGGGAGGCCAAGGCAGGCAGATCGCGAGGTCAGGAGTTTGAGACCAGCCTGGCCAATGTGAAACCCTGTCTCAGCATCCATCTTAGATCATTTTCACAAACAGAAGCAAAATCTATTTGCTTCTTTAAGTTACTTTCACTAAGGTCCATCTGGGCTAATAGCTCCTCATTCTACACACTATGTCTGTACCTTAGTCTATTACAAGAAAAAAATGCTACATTCTGGAAAAAGCAAAAAAGAACATTTCACAATATTGGCTTCATAATAAATACACTTTAACTTAAAACAGTACCAAGTAGAATTTTTAATATAATAAAATGCTTGTCACTAGCAGTTCTTTTATAGAGAACATGTAGGAGGAGGGCTTGTCATCTGACAATATCTACCAGGTTAGCATTATGCAAGTATCAGAATTAACAAGCAGAAAGTAACAGTCACTGTCACCAAAAGTCTGTATCCCTAAGTGAACTCTACTGTGAGATAAGGCGGAAGTTGTGTTTTTCCTGTTCTAAAATCCAACATGCTCACATTCCTTACAGGTAGTCAGTACTGATGAAGTACGGATTTGCCAGCAATGAAGAGCAGTCAGGGTTCGGCCTTAAGCATGCATGCCTCGTCAAGTAAATGCTGCCTTTATAGTTACCAGAGCAACAGCCACCATCAATAACAACAAAAATGAGGTAGGTGAGAGAAAACGGTATGCCTACCACAGTAACATCTCATTTCCCGAGAGACTGATTTTTGCTACATTAAGTCTCTTGCAATGAATGATGGGAAATTCACACTGACTTTATCAGATCTACACTATTGAGAATCTGACCGGGTTTATATAGAATTGACCCGGCTGCATGTGCCCAACTCTCACACACTTCTGTTCAAGGAGCCTTTAGTGAATAAGAACATAAAAGAACAGCCCGACTTAGGCAGCTCTGGTTTGGAATTCCAGCTCCAACAATTACTGGTTTTGCACTTTGGGCAATCTGCTTAATATCTTTTTTTTAATATTTCATATTTTAAGACTAAATTCCTCAAAGCTACTGCAAATCAAATGCTTAACAGCTTAAAGCACAACTTCTTCTCATACACAGTGAAGGTAATAACAGTACGAACTAAAAGTAGCTCCTAAGGTTGTTCTCAGGATGAAATAAAAAATATATTCAATGCTGGCAAGCACAGTGGCTCATGCCTGTAATCCCAGCACTCTGGCAGGCAGATGCAGGAGGATCACTTGAGGCCAGGAGTTCAACACAAGGTGGGCAACACAGCAAGATCCTGACTCTATTTATTAAATACGTATATATATATATATACTTATTCAATGCCACGTCAGGCACACAGTGAGCACGACATAAACACAAGCATATTGTTGTTGTTACAGTGTTTCATTTTGCTGGTGTAGTTATTCTATTTGCTTTAGGTAGGGTCAACAACACAGAGGGTCATGAATTCCACATACAAAAAAGAAACAATTTAAGCTGAGAATTTAAAGTCAGGGCAACGTATTTATTGACAGACTAATATATAGATGAGGAGTACAGATTGGTCCCCATTGTTGAATGTTACACTTTAACAGGAAATGTTTAAAAAAAACAAAAAACCCCGATTATCCATGTACTACTGCTGCCTTTGTCTGAGCAGCTACAAAAACTATGGAGGAAGAATAGGGGGAAAAGCTAAGAGATTAAAGTGTGTATGTATGTATGTATTTATGTATTTGTGTATTTTGAGATGGAGTCTCTCTCTCTCTCTGTCGTCCAGGCTGGAGTGCAATGGTGCGGTCTTGGCTCACTGCAACCTCCGTGTACCGTTCAAGTGATACTCCTGCCTCAGCCTCCCAAGTAGCTGGGATTACAGGCACCTGCCAGCACGCCTGCTAATTTTTGTATTTATAGCAGAGACAGGATTTCATCATGTTGCCTAAACTGGTCTCAAACTCCTGACCTCGTGATCCACCCACCTCAGCCTCCCAAAGTACAGGGATTACAGGTGTGAGCCACTGTGCTTTGCCTCAAGTATTTATTAAGTAGCAGAACGCTACCATAAGAGTCACATATATTAAAAATCCTCTCCAAATATCATCTTATCATCCACTGATTAGAAACAAAGTTGACAGAATGCAACCCTGAATTTAACTAGTCTGAACTAAGACAGGACTTGTTCTTAAGCATTGACAGGCGAGTTCACTGAATCTACCTTTAGGACCATAGGTTGATAAAATTAACTAAATAAAGGCAGGGTGCAGTGGCTCACACCTGTAATTCCAGCATGTTGGGAGACTGAGGCGGGCAGATCGCTTCAGCCCAGGAGTTTGAGACCAGCCTGGGCAACATGGTGAAACCCTACCTCTGCAAAAAGTATAAAAAATTAGCCAGGCATGGTGGTGCAGACCTGGGGTCCCAGCTACTCAGGAGACTGAGGTTGGAGGACTGCTTAAGCCCAGAAGGTCGAGGTTGCAGTGAGCCAAGATTGTGCCACTGCACTCCAGCCTAGGTGACAGAGTGAGACCCTTACTCAAAAAAAAAAAAAAAAAAAAAAAAAAAAGAACAAGATCATTTAGACTATCCAAACAGGAACACCAAAAATACTTGGGTAAATGCATTTTGCTAATCAATTCTGACAAAAGATAATAAGGGGGGAGGAAATAACATAGAGGTACTATTATTAAGACCTGACTCATTACTTTCCTTCAACTCTTACACAGGAACAACCACAGAGTCACAGGAATACTTCTTCCCACCTGTCAATAACTTAATTCCAACCAACTCTGGTGAGATTCCTACCTCCTCTCTTCATCCCACCTTTGGCCAACTCTGGTCCAATTCCTGCTGAGCAACAGGAAAGGAAACAAGGTTAAAGCCTCTGGGAAAACAAAGAGATCCCAAAACCAAAGCCTTCTAATTAAAGCTTAATGTCGCATGACTTGAGCAATGAAAGGCATGTCAGATACATCTAGTACAGCTACCTCAATTTAATTGAGAAGGAAATTATAAATGTTGCACAGTCTCATGCAGCTAGTTAAGGGCACAGCCAGCAGGATTAGAACTTAAAAGCCTTATCTCCTAATCCAGTGTTTTTCCTACTATATCACTGAGATCAGTTTTTAAAAGACTATCAATAACCTCTTCTCCTTTTTTACTATATAATACTCAGAATATAAAAACAAAATGTGGGCCAGGCACGTTGGCTCACACCTGCAATCCAGCACTTTGGGAGGCTGAGGCGGGTGGATCACTTGAGGTCAGGAGTTCAAGACCAGGTGCTCAGGAGGCTAAGGCAGGAGAGTCACCTGAACCTGAGAGGCAGAGACTGCAGTCCGGGCAACAGAGCTAGACTCCGTCTCCAGAAAAAAAAAAACAGGCTGGGTACAATGGCTCACACCTACAATCCCAGCACTTTGGGAGGCCAAGGAGGATGGATCATGAAGTCAAAAGGTTCAGCCTGGCCAACATAGTGAAGCCCCATCTCTACTGAAAATACAAAAATTAGTCTCTTTCCTCAGGCATCCTGCATCCGCCCATTCCTCCTCCCTGGTCGCCGCGTCCTTGGCTGGCATGAGAAAAATGGCTACAAACTTCCTAGTACATGAGAAGATCTGGTTCTACAAGTTCAAATACGAGGATGAAGAAAGAAGATTCTACGAGCAGGTGAACGGGCCAGTAGCTGGTGTTTCCCACGAGGAGAATGGCACCAGCGTGATCCTCCGTGACACTGCCAGAGCCAGAGAGAACATCCAGAAATCCCTGGCCAGAAGCTCAGGCCCTGGGGCTTCCAGCGGCCCCAGCGGAGACCACAGCAAGCTCCTTGTCTGGATCGCCAGTCTAAGTGGAGAACAAGCCTGCGTGTCACGATGCAGGAGCTATAGCGGGCTGTCTCCAAGCTGGAGGCCTGGCTGAATGTGCGGGAGAAGAGCTCACCCGGCCACTGGGCCACTGGGCCACAGCCCCCAGAACCAGCAGGTGTCTCCCATGCGCCTAGTAGAGCCATCAACCAAGAAGCCAGCCACACTAGCAGAGGATGAGGACGATGACATTGACTTGTTTGGCGACAAGGAGGCAGCCCAGCTGCAGGAGGAGTGGCTGTAGCAGTACACGGAAAAGAAGGCCAAGAAGCCTGTGCCGGTGGCCAAGTCCTCCATCCTGCTGGACGTCAAGCCTTGGGATGATGAGACCGACATGGCCCAGCTGGAGGCTGTGTGCGCTCCATCCAGCTGGACGTGCTGGTCTGGGGAGCCTCCAAGCTGGTGCCTGTGGACTATGTACCCGGAAACTGCAGATTCAGTGTGTGGTGGAGGATGACAAGGTGGGGACAGACTTGCTGGAGGAGGAGATCACCAAGTGTGAGGAGCACATGCAGAGTGTCAACATCACAGCTTTCAACAAGATCTGAAGCCTGTGTGTGCGTGCGTGTGTGCGTGCATGAGGCCCTGCCATGATTAAAAACTGAGATTGGCGCACACACAAAAATAGCCAGGTGTGGTGGCACACACCTGAAATCCCAGCTACCTGGGAGACTGAGGCAGAAGAATCACTTGAACCTGGGAGACAAAGGTTGCAGTGAGCTGAGATCGCACCATTGCACTCCAGCCTGGGAGACAGAGCAAGACTGTGTCTCAAAACAACAACAAAATGTGAACAAAGAATAAAGCTCTGGAAACAAATAACAAACATTAACAGCTAACAATTACTCAGAGCCTACCATGCACGCAGCAGTGCTGTGTTAAGCACTTAGGTGCATTATCTCCTTTAATCCTCCTAACAACCCTATAGGTGGGTGCTATTAATAACATCTTCTTTATAGACAAAGAAATTGAAGCTAGAGGTTAAATAATTCATCCAAAGTCACACAGCTAATAAATGGTAGATCAAGAATTTGAGCTCAGTCTGACTCCAGAGCCTATGCATAAGTAACAAAGCAAAAACAAAAAGAAATTACTTGATAAGCAGTCCATCTAATCAATATCCACAATATGTCCTTCTTCCAAGGGCACTGTATGTATCAGGGCCTCCATTTTTACCTTAACAGGTCAAATCTTAAAAGAGGTTGCTACAATCCTGCCAAATCTGGTAAACGACCGATAACTGGCTTTGATAGAGCAGCAACGATCACAGAGTTAGCAGGGGCAGCGTGCTGTTCTGCTGTCAGGCTACTGGCCCAATTTTAATTTCAAGAATAAAACCCCAGCATTTCTCTTAACTAAAGTAAAAACAAACAAACAAAAAACACTACATACATTTTTCACTTACTTTCCTCTGCTCCATTTGCTTTTCTTTTAGCCAGCAAATACAACTAGTAGAGAGCTGCAATAAACAAGATTATTTAGGAATTCCAAAGTCCTTCAAAAACTGCGTCGCATTTTTAAGTCCTCATCAAACAGATTTTCTACTCAACTCAGGGAGACGTCAGTCCCACTTAACAAATTCTCCTTTTAAAGTGAAAATTTTCAGAATGGCAGTCATGCCACAGCCCACTACGAGGCATGCCATGCTGCCCTCCACACACTAACCCTCCTGAGCCATTACTGGAAGGCCAGGAAACTACAGCTATGGCCAAGCTAGATCATGAGGTGGGTTTCCAAAATAAAATGGTCTTTTAAAAAGAGATGTAATACTCCACAATGGAGGCCTAAAAAAATAGATATTCCAGCCGGGCGCGGTGGCTCAAGCCTGTAATCCCAGCACTTAGGGAGGCCAAGGCAGGCGGATCACGAGGTCAAGAGATCGAGACCATCCTGGTCAACATGGTGAAACCCCGTCTCTACTAAAAATACAAAAATTAGCTGGGCATGGTGGCAGACGCCTGTTATCCCAGCTACTCAGGAGGCTGAGGCAGGAGAATTGCCTGAACCCAGGAGGCGGAGGTTGCAGTGAGCCGAGATCACGCCATTGCACTCCAGCCTGGGTAACAAGAGCAAAACTCCGTCTCAAAAAATATATAGATAGATAGATAGATACAGATATTCCAATTAAAAGGCTCAAGCTTGTGAACAAAGATATATAATGAAAATGACTACCATGCTTGCCATACAGAAATGTGTTGTTACTTCAGCTGGCTTAAAGATCCGATTTTCCAGTCCCATTCAGTCAGTGACCCTGAAATGCCATAGTTACTATCTCCTCAAGGAAAGTGAATACGTAAGAGGTGAAATATCTATTTCACAGAAGTACAAGAAATACACTCAATGAAAATGAGGTGAGATCCTCTCAAGACAACAGGGAGAATAAAAATTATTAGAAAGAAGTTAGGGAAACGTCCTCTTTAATTCAGAAATAGCAACCCTGAAATAAGTCTCAGATGAGAATGAGATCATTTTTAATTTTATCCCTCTCCCATCTATGAAGGGATAGGAGATTCAATTCCTACCAATCTGTGACACAGGAATTGAACCACAGAGTTAAAGGATTTTGAGAGGTCATCTAGTCCAATTTTTAGAAAAAGTCATACCTTGACCATTCCTAACAAATATGCCTTTAAACATTTTTCTAAGAATACCTCTAACAATCTGTCTATATACTTTAAGTAAACTAGAGAAATTATGTTTTCTTTCTCTAATATTTTTATAAGATCTCTTAAAATTTTGTGTTTATAGAGAATTTAGCATGTCTATAATAGTCCTAATATAGTTTAGAGTGCTTTTTCCAAGATGCCTCACAAATTTCTAGTTTTTTCTTTTCTTTTTTTTTTTTAGACAGAATCTCGCTCAGTTGGCCAGGCTGGAAGGCTGTGGCAGGGTCTCGGCTCACTGCAACCTCTGCCTTCCGGGTTCAAGTGACTCTCCTGCCTCAGCCTCTTGAGTAGCTGGGATTACAGGAACATGCCATCACGCCTGGATAATTTTCGTGTTTTCAGTAGAGACGGGGTTTCACCATATTAGCCAGGCTGATCTCGAACTCCTGACCTCATGATCTGTCTGCATCGGCCTCCCAAAGCACTGGGATTACAGGCATGAGCCACCATACCCGGCCTAGTTTTTTATTGTCTTACCACTTCTCTGACACAGTGATTCTTAATAGTGAAGAGATTCAAATTATAAATGCCCACTGTACCACCAGCCCTACTCCTGTTATACTAATATTAAGAACTACCGACAACATGATAACTTATGAATAAGAACCAAGTGGTTCAGAAACAAACCCTAAATTAGCCCGTCTCTGTATTTAAAAAAAGATCTTCACAAACAATTTTAAATGGTAAAAAGAAAGCATGGGAGGTGGGAGGTGTTTTTGCAAATAGAGGATTATAAAGATCCCCGTGAGAGCCAGAACCTAAACGTTTCTTAGAAACAGAACCATGACTGGTTCACTGGCTCAGTATCCTTCAGATTCGGTGGAGGTCACTGCATTCATTTTGAAGTCTGGCTCTCTTGGGTTTGAATCCAGTCACGTCACCTATTAACTCTGGAACTTTAGGTTTAACCACTGCCTTAATTTACTTATCTCTAAAATGGGATAATAACATCTGACTCACAGAATAACTGAGAATTAATAAATAAGAGGTGGTATTTGGTCTGGCACACACCACAAGTCTTATTTCCATTACTATCTTTTGCTGCTCTTGACAATATAAAGTATCGCAAACCCAAAGAACATATCGTTATATAAGCAGCAAGTCAAAATGACCCCAGGGAAGATGCTTAAGCAGAAAGAGGCAGGACATTCAGCACGTTAAACAATCCATTCAAGCAAAGGAAGACGAAGGCTGATGTGCTGAAACTGATCCCACTGCAGTTATTGGTGAACAGATAAATCTCCATTGCGGTGCTAAAGTGAGGCGCCGGAAGAACGACCAAGAATACAGGAAGGAAGAACCATGATGCCACAGAAAGTGGAGGGAAGGGGAAGAGAGAACAGAAAGCAGAGGCTAACAAATGGTGTTCCTTGAACCTTGCTCAAACTAAACAGCTCTATCCTTTCATTTAGAGCTAACTACTAATAATTAAAAAGAAAAAAGCAGAGAACAGGTGAGTTAGACTACACAGCCCTCTCTTGGTCTTTGGCACAGCAGCGTTAAACATTCCTAAAGATCATACAGTCTAAAAAGGAATGTCACAAAGACCTACCACAGTACACTGAAATTGATCAAGTGAAAGTAAAGAGGGCAGCTTAATGGATGTTTTCTTATGGGCTGTGTAGCTTTGATCAAGAGCAACAGAGATTCCATATCTACTAAACAGCAGAATGAAGGTAAGCTCAATGTCCAAGTGTTGTGATGAGGCTTGGGTCAGGATTTATTCAAAGTCTCTCCGAAATACTCCACTTGGAGACTACTCAAGACAAAGGCTCCTTCTATTAAATAGAAGGGGGATAAGGAGTGAAAGTGGGAGGTAGTTAGGGAGAACAGAGTTAAAAGAGTAAGAACTTGAGCTGCTGAACAAAGTGGCTCACACCTGCATTCCCAGCACTTTGGAAGGCAGAGATGGGAGAAACCTTTAGCCTAGGAGTTTGAAACCCAACCAAACAACACAGTGAGAACCCGTCTCTGTATTTTAAAAAAAGATCTTCAAACGGTTTTAAAAGATGAAAGGAAAGCTGGAGGTAGGAGGTGCTTTTGCAAATGCAGGTATTTAGCTCAGGCTGTCTAAACCCACTTACCTAAGGATGGGATAACAAAACCGCACATTTGGCGTGCTGTTCTATTTTTCTCCTATCATGAAAATAGTACTTTCGCAGGAAAGCCCTTGGCCCAGATTAATCTTGTTATAAAATATTAATACAATTATCATACAGGAAAATGAAGTGATCTGAAAATGGTCCTAGCAAAGCCACCAACAACAGAGTAGCCAAATTAATCCAGGAATTGCAGACTTAAGCTTCAAAACTGGATTCTCAGCCTCAATTCACTACTAGCCGATGGTGTTCCCGTTGGACATGCTCACGCTTACACAATAGCTTTATATTGAAAATAAAAGGATCAAAAGAATATTTTGGTGAACTAAGTAAAACCAGTTTGCTTTCTAGTCACCAAAAGGACTCTCTTTCCCATTCTTCACCGATTCAAAGCAACAAACCTATACTGATGATGGAGGGACGCAAAGAAGAGAAGAGAGGCGAGCACACAGGTGTACATGTGCCAATGCACACTCAATCACAAGCATCTGTGTTATGTGTGGTGGGAATCCTAAACTCCGTTTTATCTTTATAGCTTCCCCCTCTGGAATTCACAATTAATGTTATGGTATAACATACTTTTAGATTTAGATAATTTTTTTCTAGAAATTTGACATTAGGTAAATTGTAAAAGTTCAGAATATGAGCTTACCATTCTGTCAAGTTATTTAATCTTCCTCACTAAAAAAATACACTGCCGGCTGGGCACAGTGGCTCATGCCAGTAATCCCAGCACTTTGAGAGGCCAAGGCAGGTGGATCACCTGAGGTCAGGAGTTTGAGACCAACCTGGCCAACATAGTGAAACCCCCATCTCTACTAAAAATATAAAAATTAGCTGGCCATGG